ATTAAAGAAAGATTTGCCACGACTGCTTTCTTATATGTAAATACAGTAGGCCGATGAAAGAAATTCAAGAAATAAAAAAAAAACAACAAAAATAATAATATTGATAATAAGACTAATGGTATTTTATTGCATATTAGTAGGCCTTTTGACCAAATGGAAGCATGATGATCAAAGATGTAAAAAATAGGAATTTTCGGAAATCCCTGTGTCCTTTCTCAACGAGAAATAAAAACTGTAGTTGGACATTTGGGGGAATTTTTTCTCTCTCTTTAAGATCTCTGTTATGTTCCTAGATGCCGTCTTTTAAATTTCAAGATGTTTCGCTTCTGTAGATTTTCTGACTTGCATGCATTTTATATAATAAATCTCGACGTCTAATGTAGTGTTGGATCTAATTTTCTTGCTAACTATATTTCTGAATATCTTGAAGGTGGTGGTAATGATCTTAGTGTTGAGTGTAATTAATTTGTTTTCAAATGTTGTTGATAGCGTGTTGGAGAGTGTCCTAAGTTGGGTCTGACATTTGAATTTGCTCGAAACACACAGAAAAAAACAAGCTCTAATTTTGCTTTAATAAATGCCACCCTAATTAGAAAAGAACATAATTTATTACGTAGAAAATACTTAAAAGGAACCCTGATAAATACGCCACCATCAATAAACACACATAAAACAGTTTATTATATCACGAACTTTTATAAAATCCATACTTAAAGCATCTTATATCTACCTACAGTCACAATCTGTGTAACTTAAATTCTTTCACTCTCACACAAAAAAATATCCCACTCAACATACGGATACTATCAGATATAAGTAAAAAAAAACCCACTGGATGCCCAAAAGTACAAATATTATCAACGAAATCCAACATTGACCCACTAGAATTGTGATTCACAAAGACAAAAGAATTTATACACACGAACACTACTTGACAGGACAAATACTCGTGATATATTTTTTCTTTCATATTTAATTTTCTGATGAAGCTTAAATAAAAGCAAAACATGTTAAATTTATAAACGTTCCCTATTTGTTTCTCATTATGCTACCATTCTGTCGGATTCTAATCCATATTTGATCCTAGTACACACACACACACACACACATATATATATATATATATATATATATATATATATATATAAGTGTATGTATGATGGGTTTGATATCTTTGAATACACAGAAAAAAGTTTTGAAAAATAAGAGAAATGAATACCAGGATTTTGTATCTTCTCCCGCCCACTGATAGAATGAGTGGTGATTTTTATCATTGACTTAAGAGAAAGCATTTGCTTTTGGTTCCAGTCTGTTGAAATACCAATTAAGCGTAGGATGACTGGTTTGTCAAAAGTTGCCCTGAAATTCACTTAAAACTAGTTAAAATATGCTACCAATAAATCATATTTAGGAGAAAAAAGTTCAATATTTGCATTCTGGGTGCAATGAGCGTTTTGAAATGGAGCAGAGAATAGATTGGTTGAAGTAGGTGTCAATATTTTTTTTTATTTGAGTTTCAAGCAAAAACTGCAGGAAAAAGGTTATACATTCAAAAAAGAAGTAACTAAAACAGGAAGGAAAAATATATGTGAAAAAGAATCATCAGAATAAAAAGTGAAGAAATAAAGGATGGTCAATGAAAAGGAGAAAGAGAAAAATTAGAGGAGTTAAAGAAAATAAATGCAAACATGGGACAGAAGGCAGGAGAAGGAATACAAGATAAGAGTTTATCAACACAAAAACTATGAGAAAGAAAAAGTAAACTGAAGACATATGAGAATAAAAGTCAGTTTTTTTAGAGAATAAAGAGAGAGAGAGAGAAAACAAAATACCGACAGGGGAAAGTATGTGCTTATGCTTTTGTGTGAACTCCAAAATAAAATGGGTCGGGGGCACAAAATGAGAAAAATATTAACACATAAATGAAAATAAAAAGACAAGGGAAAAGGATATGAATACAAAGCAGCTGTTGAAAGAGACAGAGAGAAGGCGAGAAATGAGAGGTAGAGAGGACTGAGAGAAAACAATGAAGAGAGAGAAAAAAGAGATTTGAGAGAATAGAAAGAGTAGTTTAAGAGGGAGAAGCAGAAAGTTCATTATTAAATATTGCTTACTAGGTTGAAATATATTTGCTTTAGTTTGCGTTAATAAGCGTCTTTTTTTCTTTCTCCAGTGGGTGCCCTAGACCCCGAGAGAAGGGTGAGGCAAGAGAGAACATTTTTCTGTTAAATGAAACAGATTCTATTCACTGTCTACCCTTGAGAAAGACATTTAATCAGCTGATATACATTTGTATGTCCACCATAGCCACGACATCCACCGACTCCATCACTACCACTAGTAGTGGTAATAGTCATTATTTCAATTTTAATGTGTGAGTTTAAAATGACTGATAGGCAATCATACTGGTTGCATGATAATATTTTAAGAAATAAACGTTAAAAATAAAGGCAACATTGTGATATATTTATACCTACCACATCTTTATCTAAGATTTTTAATAGCTCGACGCAGAAGTAACAGAAGAAATGTTCTGTAATGAAATTTCTTTCTCTTCTAGATTAATGGAACTGATATTTGAGAGGCGAGTCTGTAAAATAGATTACTTGTCGAAAAATATCGTCTTGCGGGGTAATGTCGGTCAGACATTAATCCATTTCTTTTGGAAAGGCTTTGTAATGCAAATTACGTCCACCGATTTTGGTTCGTAACACAACAAAAACCAATATTAATTATAATAAAATGCAATTACGCACCTATCCAAGAGTGTTAATTAATCTGGTAACCTATTCTTATTGAAATCGATCCCAATTCTGCTCGCCGCTATTGTAGCCTCGTACAAAACTTAAATATCTACAAATAAAATGGAATTTCTCAACAAACTGTAACAAAATATTTTTACCAGGGCCCCTTGCTTTTGTAAAACACTCTCAACATCAACTATATAGCTTGAGCAAAATTCATTAAATATGTTTCTACAAAAAACTACTTGAAAACCTCGGATAGCAGGAAAAGAAAATATGGTGGGTGAAACATAGTTCTAATTAAAATAAGGACGGTAATAAAAAGGTAAACTAAATTATTAATATGGCAGCACAAGACTAACGTATTAGGACTAGTGACTCTAATAATAGAGGAAACTCGGGATATTAGAATAAATCAAAGTTTTATTAAATAAAAAGTAATACATATAGCAGTACGAGTAAGTTTTGAAAGGAGAAACAAAAGTGCAAGGATAGTACACAAGTTAAAGTTAGGAGGATGTAAATACAATATACAGCCCAATTTGTTGTGCAAGTAAAAATACCGAAAATAATGAGAAAGACTTTTCGAATCACTAGAAACTGTACTTTTTTATAACGATAAATGGAACCTTTAATGGCGTCCACTAAATTAAAAAGAATATAACAAAAATGTTATTTTGATGAAACATCAGCAGTATCTGTGACGACATACTAATAAGAAGGCAATAAAATAAAGAATGAAATTCAAAGTGCGCGCCCACACACACACACACACACACACACACACACACACACATATATATATATATATATATATATATATATATATATATATATATATGATAGACACCAAATGGTTTTACTGTAACTGTTGCGCTGAATGATTTGCCCTGGAGAGAAAAAAGTCGTAATTGAGAAGAATTCACGATTTTTTAACTACTATTGTTCATCCAATACAAAGCTCAAGAGCAACTCAAGATAGAGGATTACTGAATGGTGATGTGAGAGTTATGAAGTTCATATTATAAGGATATATATGATAGATATTTTGACCCTAGATTTGAAGTGGAAACATTTTCTCGGGTCTCTTCTACAAAGTATAAGTCCTTGGAAAGAAGCCGTCTGAGTGAAACTTTCTTCTAACCAATGAAATGCAAAAGGAAAGAGAATGAGTGTATGTGGAATAGCGGATCCTAACTGTGAATGTCTGAACTGTTGGAACTAAGGAATATAGCTCGTCTGAACATTTGCCATGAAAATAACGATAGACTAGTGAAAGGCTGGCGATGTCTATGTTGGAAATGGTTTGTAAGATGTAAAATAATTCATCACCCAAAAGGCTAGAAAGTTTCAACACAGATATAGCAGCGATACTCCATTTTTGGTCTGATTTGACTCTTTTACTGATAGAGCATATTAGAAGGAGTCAGGTACTTTCTTGTGCACTAAATTGAACCGAAAATTTTAAAAGCATCTTTAACGATGGATTATAGATATGAATTCCACTTAAGGTCTAGAGAGTCCTTGAGTCCCAATATACGTTTAAGGCAAGGAGCATCGTTGAGAATGAAGCCGTTTATCATGACTAGAGTTTTGAGTGACGCCTGTTTAGATCTCATGGATTTCAAGGGACTAGCGATTAACAACGACCTTCATGGACCTACTCGATAAGAAAGTATTGATAATTGAGAAAACTCTTCCAGAGATGTCAGGCCTGGAGATTTCGCATAGCAACCTCATATGCCACATCTTGTCAAAGGCCTTTCGGATATCTAACGCAATTGCTCTAATGATGAATTTATTATCGAGCGCTTTACTCATTATATGTGTAATGACATAATGGACATAGATTTCTTGTTGATTATAGACTCCAAAGCTTTGCTGATGGGGTGATACTGCGACAGGAATGAGGATTCTTGAAACCAAGGCACACAGTCGACACCTTGGGAAACATTTATTTTTTTCATATTGATTAATTTGTGTTCTAGAGTTTATCAATCCATTGCAGCATTAAAGCCCCAAAATATTTTTAGATTGTAAGAATTTTTTAGCGGAGAGGAGATGATAATGGTTTAGCGATACAAGTTTTACTCATTAATCCATAGCTGGGGAGAAGAGGTAGATTCATACTTTTCCCAAGGGTATTTGCGCGTAAGTGAATATAACGAACCCAACCAGAATTGTAACTCAACTCTCTGATTAACAATTCCGAACTATTAACCATTATACCACACGCACATCCAAACTTAAAGTTTCTGGTATTTCCAATCGGTCACCCATCTAGCTACTGACCAAGTTCGACGTTGCTTAAGTTCGGTGATCGTACGGGAACCGGTGTTTCAACGTGATGTAATTGTAAACCTATTTATTCATCTGGCAGCGATTTAATAACTTTGCCAATATTGAAACTAGCTCTGGTTTTGAAGAACAGTCATGGGAATATTATCTGGACCAGTAGACTTTGCAGTGTCAAGGCTTTTGATGTGTCTGGAAACTTCCCGAGCCGACTTTGTGCTCCGTGAGATGGATAGTCAGGTAGGGAATAGCTCTTGTCACCTCACGTGGAGTTAGAGGCAAAGTTAATTGCAAATAACTGGATGCGATAACCCCAAACACTGGCGGTTTTCCTCAATTGAGAATTTGGACACATGATGATATGACAAAGGTGTAATTTGAAAGAATACAGAGAAAATCAAGTTATATTGGGTAATATTAGTAACTGCATGCTGATTAGCATAACTTTTGTAGCTGATGTGTCGTTTCATGAGAAGCTGTTAGTAAAAAGAAGCAGCGTGTTCATGCCGGTGAGTATTATTAATAATTCAGGAAGCGACGTTTTAAATAAATGAATGTCTATTAATCATTTAATTAGTGTGTTGCTGCACTACACTTCATCGATTATGACATAGATCTGAGTTTCAATTTTGACAAAGTTATAGAGTATATTTCTAAAGTTGAAATAAACAATGGGAATATGTGATCTAATTTGGGCTTTGGAGGAGAGAACATTGAATGTGCCACATCAGTCAAATTACAGTGTAACCCGGATATAAGAGAGTTGTCGGGACCGGAGAAGAAGTCTCTTATATCCGGGTTTCTCTTATATCCGGGTTTGGTCTATTTTATATACATTAACACAGGCTCTAATTTGGGACCAGAGAAAATCTCTCTTATATCCTGGTTTCTCTTATATCCGGGTTTCTCTTATATCCGGGTTACACTGTACTTGTTCTTTCCTACATTTGTTATTTTTGACTGAAGCGTTAACCTACTAGATACATATTTTCTATGTCTGATCAGTTCATTTTTAAGCGATGAGCTCTGAACTCAAGTATAATTTCGGATATTTTATCCTTGTTGCAATCTGCATATTCTAAAAATCCTGTTTACAATGACAGTCTTGGTTTCATTTTTTATTTGAAGAATTTTAAAGTTCTACTTTTAATATGAGGGTTTTATAAAACAAAATGCTGAATACTTGAATACAATTAGTTTTAAGATTAAAAATACGCCATCATTTTTTTTTCATTGCCTTTTCTATGCGTTTCGTTCAACAATTCAAATTTCATTCATGTGTCATTCTATTAAAATGTTATTATATTGGATTCATTTACCTTTTAATAGCACGAGGCATTAACAACGACTTCCACGTATAAATGCAGGTTTGACAACTTAAATTACTGCTAAACTTATCGGTGAAGCTTTTCTCTTCTACAGTCTTGTTATTATTGAATTTTGTGTTTAAAATTTTAAATCTTTTATTAATTTATTTCCTGATTAAAAATCATTAACAGAAAATAGAATAAATAATTCACGTATGAGCAGTACCTCAACTCGTTGCTCTCGCAGAAAATTCTATTTTGTGCATACTGTTATTCAGCTATCCGAACATGTATGGAAGTAATTAACAAACCAAGCATATATTTGCTAACCAAATCTATATTGCTCAGTAAGCGCTACCGCAAAAATTCTGAAGCAACTGTTATATTCCTCATTCGACATGCAACGTACACAAATCCTCTCTAATAAACAAGTTTTATCGAGTCAACCAAAATTCATCTTCAAATATAAAGCAAACAATTTTCCTTGTCAATAATTAACTTTCTATGAACATTAAAACTGACATCTCTTAGAAATAAAACACATGTATCTTTTTATTCTCTTTTAGAATATTATACATTTTATAAAGCGTTGCATAGCACCCATAAAATAAGAAGTTTATTTATAGTTGGTGTTTTAAGTGTAGTTTAGATGTGGCACAAACCCAAATGTACAAGGCACTCATCGATCTCACTATTCAGTCGTAATTGATCTAGCGAGACAAGCTTGTTAACCATTACACCACGTCGAAGTACCTAAGATTATTTATACCTGTTTCATTTTCATTTCTCTGTTGAATATATTTTTTAAATTGAATTACGCTTTATATTTTCATCTATTTCCTGAACTCTGTGTTACATTTCAATCAACGTCTTTCATTCAAATTTTCCACACTCACAAATAAAAATTTAGTAGTTTCCAGGAGTTTAACACTCCAATATTACTTGCAAAACAAGTAGTTTGTTAAATGTCCCGGTGTAAACACTTCAGAATTTTTGTCTAAATAGGACTTGATGAATAAATTCACACTCAAATTTTCCCCTACGACAAAAGAAAACGTTTTTTCTACACATTACATTCTTTTGCCGATAAAACTTTTCTGGTGTAGCACAGCATAGATCAAACTCACAATATCTTGAAATTTTCAACGACTAGAACCTTTAATTAATTCTCATGTGTGCGAGCGCGTGGTTTGATTCAACTATGATCTTTATTTGCATAAATGTAAAATTACTGTGACGATCAAATATTGCATTTCAGTAATTTCGAAAAAATAAGATTATACTCCGCCCCTTTTGCCACTGCAGTAAAATGTCTATAAGTATTTAATAAAAGAAATGGACAATAAATAAATCATCCAAAATTGAAATTCAAATTTACACCGTAAAGGAGATTCAGGTACGAAGCGAGGATGCTGAAAAGTTTTCAGTTCGTTTTTGTTTAAGAAATTCTTAACCCCCACCCCAAACTTGATGTTTAGTCATTTTGGAATTAGGTAGATCCAAGAGCCTTTCAGCACCTCTAGTAATTTGCATACTGTTATTTTTACCCATTCATTTCAATTTATATGTCGAAAGGAAACGGAATAAGCGTTTTATTTTAACAACCGATCGAGTGAATTGAGCGAGAGTTTATAGTTGCATTTTCTCAAAGAAAAATATTGAGGTTATTCTTAATAAGAGGAAATAAGATTTCGCTCACGGCTATTTTTCTTCGAGTAGTTATTTTTTTAAATTATTTCTAAACAATTTAAACTCTTGCTAAAAACGTTATGGTGATTAATAATCCTGAAAGAAATAATTTTTTTTGGAAACTACTGTGTAGATTATCGTACAATTCTACTTTTATCCATTTGGCCCGAGATTTCTGCAAAAGACTAACATAGAAACGATTCATGTCACCATAATATTTGTTGCTCTAAACTGCAAGTCAAACCAGAAACTTTCCTTCGAAGCTTTTTTTTTAAAAAAAAATGAATGCTAGAACGCTGCATCACAAGATTTTCCCCAATGTCTTTTCCAAGCCCTATTTAATGTGACAGTATCTAGATTAAGTTCAATTCAAATCGTCCCATAACTGTCAAGTTTCATTACAGATTCAACTTCGCACGGATATCATTGTGACTCATCAACAGACACTTTTAGTTTGTAACAAAACACATTAAGTGATATCTGAGATTTAGGAGAAAAGTCAAAAGCATTTATTAGCATTGTTGGATGGGAGTTTTATTTTACAACATTTCTCTTGTATTATTCTCATTTCTTTCTCCACGAACTAAGTTTTATAAGTTTTAAAACTATATCTGATTGTTTTCATTCTTGTATTTCTTCAAAGATAGTTCGATCGCATTAAAATACAATTGGTTCAGTACAAAAAAAGCTTGACGCAGGCCTCAAGATTTTGGAGACTTAAATAGAAATGGGTTAATTTTGATTAATTATGTAATGCCTAAGCATATCAAAACTAGTTGTCAAATCATGCATATTACTTATATAGCCCTAAATTGTTGGTTCGGGTTAGAGTGGTTGTTATTATTATGATTTAAGGATTTTTTGTATGTCATGTCATATATTGTAGCTGTCGTATATATATATATATATATATATATATATACACGGCCTGACGATTTCGTCCAGCATAAAACAGCCGGTCGCCTCTGAGTGTTGACTTCAATGTTTACTTTTATATTTACATACGGTCTATCTCAGATATTGAGCACTTTATCCCATAAATATAGCACACCTTAAAACTACATTTCTTTATATATATATATATATATATATATATATATATATATAAAGGTGACCTGACGATTGCATCTAGCATGAAACAGACTGTTGCCTCTAAGTGTTGACTTCTATGTTCACTCACTTTTATGTTTACACACGCTCTGTCTCTGATATTGAGCACTTTATTCCATAAATATAGCACATCTTAAGACTATATTTCTTCATATATATATATATATATATTGTAAATGTGGATAACTACTGTCGAGTGAAGTCCCTTTTCTAATTAACAGATTTCGATCCTCACTTGTTGCTTCCCCATTGAGCAAAAGTTTGTAAATATCAAAATTTTTATCGATCTCCCTCATTTTCATAATATGAACTTGCCCTTGTGTTTATACCATAACCGTAGATGCAGACAGACGATTAGATGTAGTGGATATAGCTAGAGTAGCAGCTTATAACATCTTTGAATTTGAAAACTGCTTGTAAATTACCTTATGTTCTGTAAAATACTGACAATAAAGACATCATCAATGTTGCAGAAAAGTGAGTTCAGTCCTTGAAAAATTTGATTCATAAACTATTGGAATGTCATTGCCGCATTACAAATTGCGAACGGTAAACGTAAATATTCAAATAAAGTGTGGGAAATATTTTTGAAGATAGCGTAGATATCCATACCCCTTCATCGGTATGCTATTATTAATTTTAAATATATTCTTGATTTCCATATATGTATGTATAATTATCATTTATTTCCAATGAGCAAAAAAAATTATTAATATCCCGCTTAAATAAAAGAATATAGAAATTTTGGTCTTTTGAACTTATTCTAAAAGTCAATTCAATAAAACCAATTCTCAGTTTCAATTTTATCTCCAACCCACAGTACCAATTTTCCATATTTTATTAATAAAACTAAAAAAAAAATTTTTTTTCATTTGTTACTTGTCCGGGAACTGAGTATTTGGTTACCATTTCTCGCCTTCGTAGTTTCATGCCAAAACTATTG